GATCCTATTTTTGTTCCTGCCCAGCACAAAGCAACAGCTGGTGCGGAGGCCGTGGCGGCCCTCCCGCCCCGTCACCTCGGTCAGGGGCAAAGCTCCGCTCGCCACCCCAGTCCGTGGACACCCCAAAACCTACTGCATCGAGCCTGGAACCTGCATCACCTTCTGAGCAACCGCTCCGTTTCTGTGAGGACGTCATTTACTGAGCGCTCTCTGCTCCTCTGTCTCCGCAGAGCTCTCCCTCAGTGGTTTCAGGCCCCGCTTGGTTTCGGGGGTGGCTCGGGGTCATCGTCTGTCCTTCATCTTCTTCCGTGACTTCTGTTTAGTACAGTCCTGAGAAGGGCTTTGAGACACTTCAAGAAGTTGTGTTAAACTTACTCCTCTTTCTGAAACTTCACCTACTGACCTATGGCATGGATCGTGCTACACCTTCTCATTCTGATCTTACGCTGGGTCAGCTGGTGTTTAACCCAGCCATGGCAAGGCCTACACAGGGCACAGCTGAGAGCAGCAGTCCAGCACCCTGTGGTTTCCTAACACACCTGTATGGGCACGCCAGGGCCGAGACCCGGCTGAGCAACGCTGCCTGGCCGAGGCCAACAGATGGGTCTGGCTGGGTATTTCCACCGCCCGGCGCACCCCCTCCCCGACAGCCACACCAGACTCGGGCTGCAGCGTCGTGCAGAGCTCTGCCCGTCAGCGCGGCCACAGCAACTTTTCACGAGAGATTTCCTGCTGCTCACCTGGCTCTACAACTCAGCTCAGCGGTGACTGCAGCACACGGGAGACTCCTCCTGTGAAGAAAGCGCAAGGGTTTCCTTTTGGTCTCCAGCCTGGCCAGAGCCACACTCCCTACTTGACTTCTACAGGGCCGCTGCCACGGGGACTGGTCGTGATCCCTCTGCGTGGCCAGAGCCTGCTCCCACCACATCAGATTCTGCTCCCACCTGTCTGGAAGCAGGCACCCTATGCTGGTCAGGGAGAGAAAATCCACACGTGTCTGGCAGCAGCCGACCCCTGTAACACCTCTTCAGCCTCCTCTGCTCACATTACACCTGCGTGTTGGGTGGGAGAAAGGGTCACAGAAACCGGCCACCAGACAAGGAGCAAAGGGGCCTCTGGACATCACAACAAGGAGATGTGTGCTCAGAGCCTGTTAATTGCACCAGACAACACTGGGGGCAAAAAGCACTTGGAGTAGACTATGGAAGAGAAAGAGCAAGAGGAAACAGTTCCTGACCCAGCAGTGCCGAATGTGTATGTGTGTGGGGACACTGGGGCAAGCAGGGCGGTACCGGAGCGAACGAGCGTTTGCGAAGGCAAAGGGGTGCCAGAAGAGAGACAAAATATGAAAGCGTGTGTCCGCAGGGGGATGTGGGAGAGGGAAGGAAACAAGCAGAGGACTCCAAAGCGCTGTCTGTGGAACTGTGCTGTGCTCCAGGGGACCGCGAGGCTGTGCGGAGGAAGCAAAAGCCTGGTTCACCTGCTCAAGAGTCCTCCAGAGCTCAACACTGAGTTGCTTCAGCTCCATCTTTTCATCTTCCAGCCTTGCAACTGCTTGCTGCAGACCTTCCAGCCACTGCAACAGGAGCCCCTTCTCCAAGAGCCACAACAGCAGCTGCTCCCCTTCTGCAAGAGCCTGCTCGGTAGACAGAGAGGAGATTAGGTGAGCTGGTGCCACATAAAGGCGAGAAGGGCCATAACCAACACATCAGGGACAGTGACCCGACTCGGGAACGGACAGCGCCAAGTCTGTTCTTCTCCTCCTGGTCCACAGGCCAAAACAACACTCTCCCTTTTAGGGTCCCTCCTCCAGATCACCTTGGAGAAATCCACACAAATTTGCCTTCGTGCTTTTTGGACTGTGGCACAAGGACATCCCAAATGCCCAACAAAGCCTTTAACCTGATCTGGCAATGGTACCAATTCCGTTATTTTTAACACACTGGAGAAGCTGTACTTCACAAACCTACACCTCTGAGAGCATCCTCTAAGCACCGTCCGTGTAGCTGCTGTTCAGCCACCGTTACACAATTCTGCTAAGTTTAGCACATTGGTTCGGTCAGCTGTGCCCTTTCCCTCCCATGCCAAATCCCAACCACGCCATGGTGGCTAAGCTTAAGGAGAGAGCCAATGACCCACCCCCGCTTTTTGGACTTGATTTCAACAGCAAGCTCCGTAGTTCCTTCTGTAGTTCTGGGCCTGGCAGAAAACATTCCAGCAGGTGGATGGTCTCTGGCCGGAGCACACAGACAGGCAAGCCTGCTGGCGGCAGTCACAGCTTTTTGGCCAAGCAGGTCAACTATTTGTGGGAAAATACATTCCCATCTCTTGACGGGAACATCACCAGACTCCTTTATAGACCTTTTCGTTGGCTGACGGTCAGTCACGCTGCCTACCTGACACCAGTCCGTGTCCCTCACTGAAACCATACTCTGTGGGATGGCTGTTTCTTCCCTCCGAGTCCCGTGAGCCGTTTCACTCTTGCCAAGGGCAAGAGCCAGTGCTTGTGCCTTCTCTCTCCATTTGACTTCTCTGCTTTCAGTCTCCCTCAAAACAACAATCATCACAAGCTCCAATTCTTTCCCCTTTGCTTTGCCTCATCTTCCAGTTGTTGGGTTAGCTCCTTCTGCCTTTGCAAGGAACGGTCTCGCTCCTGGAGAACTCTCCTCTTCTCTGCTTCCTCTTCCTCCCAGTTCTGGAGTCTCCGGATTTGTTTCTGTAGGGTCTCCTCTCCATCTCTCCATCGCAAAGCTGATGCTAACCGTTTCAGGAGCCCACTCTGCCTCCTCAGCTCTTGTTCTCTCCCTGTCAGTCTCCTCTAAATACCTGACTCTCTCTCTCTGGTACTTGATCTCTTCATTCTTCTTGGTCGGAGTCTGATGGACATGCTGGAGGTCTTCCCAAAGAGTCCTGCTGTCAGTCTCCTCTAAATACCTGACTCTCTCTCTCTGGTACTTGATCTCTTCATTCTTCTTGGTCGGAGTCTGATGGACATGCTGGAGGTCTTCCCAAAGAGTCCTGATTTCCTCTTCTAGCTCTTTTTGCTCACCTTGAGCTTTGGTCTCTCGTTCCCTCTCATCAAGGGCTTCTTCCAGGAGCTTCTCTTGCTCTCTGTGGTGTCTAACCCCCTCTCTCTTCTCGGCTAGCCTAAGCTGGAGATTCTGCAAGGTCTTCAGTTCTGCTTCTTGCGGCTGGAGTTTTTGCATAAGAGTTCTGTTGTCTTTGTCTCTCTTCCGCACCTCTTCCTCAAACAGATTCACTTGCTTCTGGCATGACCTACTCTCATGCTTTCACCACGAAGCTGGAACATGTTCATTTGCTCTGGCTGCTTGAGGAACTCCAAACGGTTCTCCTTCGCTATTTGGCTCGCTTTGTCTGGATCCTGCTCTACTCTCTTGGCCTGCTTGCCTTCCAACTGCTTCTGCTCTCGAAGGTCCTGGACATGCTCTTGCAAAGACGCTATCTCTTGATCTCTAGCTTCTAGAGAAGATTCAGCGTATTCAAGCCTTTGCAGCATAGCTTTAGTCGGCATCGCTGCCTCCTCCTTTTGCTGTTGAAGCTTAGAGATAGCCTTCTCCAGAACCCCTATCTTCTTCTGTCTTTCCTTCAGAGTCTGTTTTGTGCTTGGAGATTTCTTTGCTCCGCTTCATGCTTTTCCTCCTTTTCCTTGCATGCCTCACAGCGCTTTCTGAGGGATAAAATTTCTTGCTCTTTTTCCTTTAGCGCCTTAGATGTTGCAGAATTTTATTCTGCTGTTCAGAGTCTCGGTCTGCAGAATTTCCTTCTGCTGTTCAGAGTCTTGCTCTTGTTTTTGGAAGGTCTCAATCACTTCCTTCTGAGATTCAATCATGAAGTCCTTTTCTTTCAGTATTGCCATAGAGTATTCCAAGTCTTTCTGTAAAACATTCCGCTGTTCTTCTGTTTTCTCCTCATAGCTCCTTGCCTGTTGCTTTTGGAGGTCTATGAGTCTGTCCTTTTCTTTTAAGGTTTCTAGGGTCTGCTCCAGTTGGTGACGGACAGTCCTCACCTGCATGTGCATGACTTCTTCAGCTTCCTGGATTTGCTTTTGTTGTGACTCAAGCTCTTGATCTTTTTCAGACAAAGAAAGGGTCATCTTTTCTACTTTACCCTGAAGCTCTTGCAGGTCCCCCTCTTGCTCTTCCTTGTGCTGCTGCAAGAGTCTTAACTGCTCCCTTTGAGAACCACACTCTCGCTCTCTGTCCTTAAGAACTGCCAGCAGGTGTTCAAGGCTTGTGTGCAGAGATTTCACCTGTTCTGTCTCGATTTCCAGTTCTCTTTTCAGATGATCAAGATCCACCCGCAGATTTCTCACCTGTGATGCACTATGTTGTTCTAGCATTATTATTTTCCCCTCATGGAATTTGATCTCCTGGTCTCTCTCCTCCAGCACTTTGCTCATCTTGCTGACTGCAGTCCTCTCCATTTCTCGCTGCTGCTCCAGGGCTCGGATCTGTTCTTGCTGGGATCTGATCTCCCGCTCTCTCTCCTCCAGCACTTTGCTCATTTTGCTGACAGCAATCCTTTGTTCTTCTTGCTGCTTCTCCAGCTCCCGGATCTGTTCTTGCTGGGATTCCATCTTCTGTTTTTTCTCTGCTATGTCCTTAATAGCCTAGTTGAGAGTAGATTGATGCATTTCTTTCTGCTTTTCCAGCATTCTCATCTGGTCCTGGTACAACTTCCTCTGTCCCTCCCACTCCGACAGGACGGCATTCAGACGAGGGAGAGTCTCCTGCAGATCTTTTGCCTGTGCTGCCTTTTTCTGGAGCATCTGGATTTTCTCCCACTGCATTTCCACTTCCAAATTTTTAATTTTTAAGATAGACACCGTTGTCTGAAGTTCTTGTTCCAGGCAGTGATTCATCTCTTTTGCTGTATTTGCTCAGGTTTCGGAGGCTGTGACCGATTCCTGGAGAAGGTTTATCTCCCATACCAGTTTTTCTTTCACTGCTTCCAGTCTGTCCTGTTCATGCTGCAAAACAGCAAGAAAAAGATTCAGTCATTCCATCTCAACAGGTTTGCTTTTTGTACTAGATTTGACCTCCTGCTTCAGTGCCAGTCAAGGGCTGCCCCTTCTCTCCCTCCCTCTCGGGATGTTGTGGATCTCTCCTGTGCCACTCTTTAGGCTGTGTCTTCCCAGCTTCCTCAGCCCATCCCATCTTCCTTGTTGCCCTTCTCTGAACCTCTTCGAGCTCTGGTGAATTCTTTTGGGGAGCATCCACCAGAACTGCAGCCAGGATTTAAAGTCCAGACTGAGCATGATATAGGCAGTGGCGCGATCATGTTCTCTCCGTTAGCAAGGAAGGCAGGAGAGAACAACCCCAACATTTGATTTCCTGGTTTGGGGTGGGTTTTTTGGACCTCTACTGTGTAGAGTTTTCATGGTACCATCCTCTAGAACCCCACTTGTCCCCTCTTGAGGGAGTAAGGGTCAGACCGTGGTCTGTCATCCTGTCTTCCACTAGTTTCCCCCCTGCAGGCGTACCTATTTATCTGAGTCAGTGCTTTTGTTTCCCAAATTTCTCTATTTTTTCGCCACTGTCTGTGCTCAGATGGGCAATGTTGAACAGCTTTCTATTATCAGCGGACTTTGTCTTCTCAGCCCTTTTTCCACATCCAGACCTTACCTGCCCATGCTCTCGCTGCTCTGCCACCTCCCGCCTGAGCTGCTTTAGCTGCTGGCAGACTTCTGTTACCTCTCCCCGAGTCTGGAGTAGCATCTCTAATAAAGCATTCTTCTCACACTCCTTTTCTAGCAGGACCTGCACAGGAATAAAGAGAAGACGCATTTAGACTTCCCATACAGCCAATCTGACTTCCCATACAACCAATCTTGGTAAGACTCAAGGACTGACGGGCTCACACGTCCTCCAAGCACTACGCTGATGCTGCTCTCCTAGGGCAGGATCTGCCCACTTGGAGGCACAGTCTCCTAAGTGAGACTGGCAGTATAAACATGATACACCCGTGAGTGAAGCTTCAACAAACTCCTAGTCATCTAACAGGAAAACGTGTGGCATCTCTCAAGGGCCTCGCCTTGCTGGTGAGGGTATCCCATTTCTCCTGCTGTGGCCTGTTTGTCTTTTGATAGTGACTTTAGCACCTGCTGAGCATCCCAGGACCCAGCCTTCTCCCACAGCTCTGTCCTTGCTGTGCAGGTGGCTTCCTTTGTCAGCTCGCTCACCAGGAGACACAGCAATGGTGCTCACATTCTCTTCAGGCCTGCCACGCGCCTCCTGCCCTTCTTCAGCCTACGCTCTGGCAGCCTCTCGCATTAGCACCCCTGTCCCTCACGGCACAAAGCTCTCCGGGTTGCTAAGGCACTGCTCCTGTTTGCAGAGGGGCATCTGAGAGACACTTCTACCCAGATGGACAGTGTCCAGAGAAGCACTGCCGAGGTGGAGCCCAGAAGAGGAAAGGCACCACACCAGCTCTCCTTTCACAGTCTTTACCTCCTGCTTGGCATTTTCTACTCGAGTTCGTTCCTCTTCTTGCTGAGCTTGCACGGCAGCAACTTCCTGCTTCATCTCAAACAGCTGCTTCTCATGCTCCCTTTCTGCCTCTGCCTTCTCCTTCTCCCATTGCTCCAGCAGCTGCTGCAGCTCTGAACGGTGCCCTTCCCACTCACTTGCCTGAGGAGGGGAGGAAGAGACTTCACGATGGAGTCCCAGCAAGGCTGCTCAAAAAAATGTGAAGCTTCATCCCTTCTGGAAACCCCCATCTCAGCAGTGCCCAGTGGTGCCTTTGTGCCCTCCGTAAGTCAGGTCCTACCAAGGAACTTATAATGAGAGTCAGCAGGTGGAAGAAAAGGAGATGTCATCTTCCCCTGTCTGATGGCTGCCTGTTTCCTAGCACCCCTCGCCTCAGGATTTCTCTGAGTCTCTGCCTGCAAAGCTCAGCTCCATCCTCATCAATTAAAAAATGCAGATGGACTGCAGGGTGAGAAAGAGCCCAGTGCCCTGATGCCCCAGTCACAAGACAGGCCACGAACTGAAGTCCCAGGAACAAGGGGCCTGTTCCAAGGAATGCGAGGAGTCTGCTTCACGGCAGACGGGAGTCTGCTAGGATCCTACCCCTTTGCTGCCGTGCTTTGAGTGGGGACCACCCAACCTCCTGTTAAACTCGTCTTAGGCCCACACCAAGTCTGTGGCTGTATTTACTGTCCGAACACAGCCCGTGGGTCTTCACGGCCTGCAAGTACGAGCCGCTGGCTCTGCTGCCTGGCCTGGCAACGTGTGGCCTCTGGCAGGTGACTGCTGCCATTTCACCCGCTCAGGCTATTCTTCTTCTAAAGCCAGCCCACAAAGCTTGCTTGAAGAACTCAAAAGCACAGTGTTTCCTACCAGGTCTTGCAGGAGCTTGTTTATTGCCGCTTGATGATCAGTTTGCCGAAGGCTGAGGGCACTGTCATACTGCTGTCTTGTCCGCAAGAGCTGTTGTGCCGTGTTTTCCCGTTCCTGCCTCATGACAGATCTCTCTGCTTCCAGCTCACACTGAAGGCGTTTCACTTCCCCTGCAAACACAACCAATGCCGACATTCAGAGTCTACACAGACAGTGGTTCCGACTTTACTGACCTCAAGCCATTTGAATTTCGGTGTAGGAGGGATCTGTCTCCAGCCCCTTCACTCCTCAGAAGCACTGCAGACAGAGAGCTGTTTTTATACCACCTTGCCTAGGCAGGGGATCACCAGAAACAAAGCACGTGACGCTCTCACCTTGGATGGCCTCCTTGGCCTGTGTGACTGTGCCAAGCTGGATTTTCAGCTGAGACAGGTGCTGCTGAGCCTCAAACCGGCTGGATTCCAGGGTCTCCTTCACTGAGCTGCAAGTTGCAAATGTGGAGAGAAATAAGTTTCTTGCCTCTCAGACCCACAGGGCAGACAGGTGCTGCTGAGCCTCAAACAGGCTGGATTCCAGGGTCTCCTTCACTGAGCTGCAAGTTGCAAATGCGGAGAGAAATGAGTTTCTTGCCCCTGACACCCACAGGGAGTTATTCCAGTAAGCAGTGGCTCAAGAGCCCCACCCCTGAGTACAGAAAATGGTTTGCATGGGAACTCATATATACAGAAAGCGCATTACTGCCACTGCAGATAGCAATGCAGGCCCCTTCGAGGGAATGCCCAGGCTTTCCTTCTCACCTAGCATAACACAGAAAGCCCAGGCAGACTTGACCTCAAGAGCCAAGTCCTAAATTGCTCTTGTCTGATCTACGACACACGGGTAGCTGTGCCCGCAAGGTCTGTGCCAGCAAGCAAATGCCCAGCCTCTGCTCACAGCCCGTATCTCATCAGCACTTCCACCTTGCTCTGCAGGGGGACAGAAGAAGAGCATTTCCCTGGCTGACTCGTGACTTTGTAACGCTGCTCGTATAGGTAGGGAATTTTCCAGACTCCTCTATTTCAAAGGGACTAAAGAAATACAGTAAAGTCTCACGCTTGTAGCAGCGTCCGTAAGAAATCTGAACTCGACTTCAGCTGAACAAGGACCACCTGAAAGCAGAGACAGGCACCCTTCAATTTAAACTGTCGGAAGTTCAAGAGAAAAACTTGCTACTTTTCTTCAAGTGTTGGTAACTAAGTAGGCAGTAGCCCAAATGGCTTTTCGCTCCTTAGAATGGAAGTTGTAGACCTGCAGGGGCAAACTGTTACATCCACAGACTTCAAGCAACTGCTGCCTATGGCACACGGGGTTGTGGTACCTCCCTGACTTCACACAGCATCTGTGTGCCAGGTTCCTACAACACACAGCACTGCCTCACTGCTACAGGGATGCCATCAGGATAACATCCTTCAGGATGTAAAGGGGCACCCGAGTGGAACAGCAATCAAACACACAACGGCAGGATTTCACAACCTGGATGGGCAATGGAGGATGTATCTTCAAGAAGGAGATCAAGCACCTATTTCTGATTATGCCGGCCTCTGGCAGGCCAAAGTAAATATGCTCCATTTTAAGGATAAGTCAAAGTCAGGCTCTAAAACCAAACAGAAAAGTTCCAAAGTGTGGCAACGAAAGGCTCTTGAGAACAACATCCTGCAAGAAGAGTTGCTACAGCCCAGTAAGCAACAAAACATACATCAGCAGGATTAAATAAGAGAAGCTGGAGCTCAGAAGAAGCAGCAGCTCTCAAGAGACAGACTGCGTCAAAATGGTGTTTATCAGCCTCGCTAACAACCTACTCTGGAGCGGTAAAGCACAAAAGTCAAGAAGCACAACAAACAGTCTTTAAAACACCACTCGTACAGCTCCACAAATTCAGGAGTCTTCTAAAAACATATCTAAGAGGAGGACAAACATCTCGACAAGTTAAGTTGTTTCTTGGGGCTTTTTGGAAAAGCAGAACTTGTCGCATTTGATCTTAGAAACCTGATACAGCAGGAGGACAGAATCTTGTTCTTTCACCGTCTAACATCACCACAACATCTGTCTCTAAAGAGCATGTGGTAAGCAGTACAGGACCCCAACACCAGTGATGGGCAAGAAGTCCCAAAGACTGGCGAGAAGTCACAAGACACTTCCCTGCGGCTGGGGGAACCAACTCTAGGTACAGCACCACAGCTAACAAGAGTTAGC